GCACCCCTGACACCAGATGAGAAAACAGCTGGAGGACCTTACTGATCCCATTAGTACCTGGGGAAGGCAGTTACACCTCGAGGGAATGGTTCCCCAGCCTTGGAGCTGAGGTAGCCCGTCTGAAGTTATGCCTCCAGGGTTTTGTGTCATCTTTCTGTAAGGGTGTGTTGTGCTTGTTGTCTTATGGTAGCCCCTTTAGCCCTTCTTTTAGGTTTGGTTTTGAGCCTATGAAGTTCCTGAGCTGCTGTTTATCTAGAAAATAGTGTACCGTTCCTTCGAATTTGAGTGAGAGTTTAGCCGGAAAGAGTATTTTGTTGAAGCGTTTATTTCAGTGAGTTTTTTTACTATATCCCACCATTGCCTTCAGGCTTGGAGGGTTTCCTCTGATAGGTCTGCTGTGAATCTAAGGGGTGCTCCTTTGTATGCGATTTCCTTCTTTGCCCTTGCTGCTTGCAGTATTGTGTCTCTATCGGCAGCATCATCGGCAGCATCGATCATTCTAACTATGATATGTCTTGAAGTGTTTTTGTTAGGGTCTCTTTTAGCTTGCACGCTTCAGGCTCCTTGAATCTGAATGGCTGCAGTGACAACTGCACTTCTTTTTTCATTGCAGCACTGTTTACAATAGCTAGAATCTGGAAAAAAAACTGAATGCCCAAGATCAGATGACTGGTTAAAGAAACTTTGGTACATCTACACAATGGAGTACTATGTAACTGTTAGAAAGGATGAAGTCATGAAATTTACATACAAGTGGTACTACATGGAAAGTATCATACTAAGCGAAAAGAGTCAGAAAGAGAGGGACAGACATAGAAAGATTGCATTCATCTGGGGAACATAAAGTAACAAAATAGGAAACTAACACCCAAGAATAGCAGAGTATCAGGTTTTAAGTACCAGGAGGCTTATTCCATGGCTTGGAGGCCAGCCGCACACGCTGGGGGAAAAGGCAGCTAAGATAGAGAAGGGAGGATCAAATAAAGGGTGTTGGGAGGATCTTCCCAGGATAGGAGATGCATGCTGAGAGTAGACTTTAGACTGAATATGATTGCCACTCAATGTCTCTTTTGCAAGCACCCAAAAGGAGAGAGCACTCATAGCACCCAAAAGGAGAGAGAGAACAAGGGGGAATGCCCTGCCACAGAGGCAGAGTGAGATGGGGGGGGGGGTACGGGGGGAGGGTGGGAGGGATACTGGGATCAGTAGTGGTGGAGAATGGGCACTGGTGTAGAGATGGGTATTTAATCACTGTATAACTGAAACCCAAGCACAAAAATTTGTAAATCTACAACTGTACCTCATGGTGTTTCACTAATAAAAATCTAAATTAAAAAAAAAAGTTATGCCTCCGGGATGACAGGCCCTTTGCTGTATGATGGCTGTGCCCTGGGGCCAGACTGTGTGGGCATTGGTTGTGCCCTGGGGCTAAACCGCGTGGGCCTGTGTAGGAGAGACTGGCTCCATGAGGAGCCCACTGCGCTGCTCACACACACTTGATCTCATTTTGAAAGAGGCAGACATGGCTCTTTGGTGCCCATCCTTTCTCTTTCCTGCCCTTTGATCCCTGATGGCGGGCCTGTTGGGTGCCAGGCTCCGGGTCCAGAGGGCACCCACGGGACAAGTTCTGTGTGATCGAAGAAGGGTGTCCTGGGTGCTTTTTCTTCTCTCTGCCCCGCGGTGCGGTTTGGGAAGCGGAAGGAAGAGGGTGTTTGGAAAAGTGGCACGGGAGAGCCGGGCAGGTAGGTGCTGACAGTCCTTGAGGTGTCTCAACTGTATCTCGAGACAGTCACTCTGGGATCAGGTGAAAAATGCCAGTAAGTGGGCTGGCCTCCCCAAATAGGTCAGCTCATCTGCATTTAGTTTCAGTTTGGTTTGGTTTGCTTTGGTTTGAGGGCCGCACCTGGAGGTGGACAAAGGCCTCTCTCTACTGGTGGATTCTGGGGAGGGTCCCCCCCAGAGGTGCTCAGGGACCATGCGGTGTCTTGGAGTAGAACCCTGGTGCCAGCCCCAAAGCATGCACACTATGGACGCTCTTGCAGCTGGGAGGCAGGCAGCCCTTCCTAGGTGTGTTGTATTTCTGTTGGCCCGGGGAGCCTTGGGGGCTGCCCTGTCTCTTGCTGAGTGGTGAGGTCTGCTGGGCAGGAAGTCCGACTTCCTTCTTTGCCCCAGCAGCTAGACAGAGAGGGAAGCTGCGCCTCTCCCTGTTGCAGACGATGGGGACCGGAGGATGCTACCCAGGGATCACCCTCTGCCCTGGTGTTGGGGGACCCCGGGACCAATCTGAGCTCTGGAGACCCAAAGCACAGGTGCCCAGCCAGCTCCGACACAGGGATGATCAGGGCTGGGGCTCAAACTCCAGGCTTCGAGCACCCCCCAAAGGCTCCTCCTTCCTCACGGGGCTTGGGTCCGCTCCGCAGTGTTTCCAAGGCAGGGGGATTCTGAGGTGCTCTTGAAAACACCCCCTCACGTGTATGCAGGGCCTCCTTGGAAGCAGTCCCCCCACTGGGCTCCAGTTGCTGTGGGGTGTGAGGGAAGGCCCAACCCTATCACCCAGAGAGGCAGGAGGAGCCCAGTAGAGGGACCCAGTCCCCTGCCCCTTTCCTGAGGAAGTTTGGGGAGTCTTGTCTATTTAAAGCTCCCGCACCCCCACCCCCCAACTGGCCCCAGGCTGCCTCCTCCCGGGGCTTCTTCGAGCATTACCAGGAAGTTGGCCTTGCTTAGCAGCTGAGCCTTTAATCCCTCCAGCTGCCCGCTCCTGCCTGTCCTTGGGCAGCAGCAAGTGGAGGTGAGTGTGCTGTGTGTGTTTTGTGTGGGAGATGGGAGTGTGGCCGGGCTGGGGCTGGCCGGGGTGTGGGCAGAGCTGCGGGTCTGTTGGTGCACGGCTGGGCGATACGTGTGTCCCAGTGCAGTGTGGTCGCGGCTGTGTGTGTCAGCACCTGTGTCTGTCGGCGTGGAGTGTGTGTGTGCATCTATGTGGTGTGTGTGTCTGAGTCGCGGCTGTTGTGAGTCCATGTGTGATGTGCGTGCCTGACACATGGGAGATGGTGTTGGTGCATGTCCTGTGGTCTGAGGGGTGGAACCACCACACACCCGCTCTTCCTCTTCCCCGGGCTGAGGGGCATCGTGCAGAGGCTAATCTGCCCTCCTGGCTCCTCTCTGGAAGGGCTCTGCAGAGGAGCAGGTGTGTGGTGGTCTCTTCCTCTGAGTCTGTCAGTGGTGGTGGGCAGGACTCAGGCCCTGAGAAACAGTTATCGGGGGCTTCTGTGGGTGAGATGGAGCACCACAGTGGAAACTTGAGCTGAGCGAGCAGCGTCCTGCTGGGGAGCTGAGCGGCCCGTGATTCAATGAAGGGACCCATTGAGGTCATGGGATGGCAAGCACTGGGCAGAAGGAAGGCGGGAATTGGCTTAGAGGAGCGAGCAGTCCTCAAGGTAACGGGTACTCCTGCCTCCGCAGCCTGTCTTCTGGAACTTGCTTGGAGCTGGGGGGCTCAGGCGGGCCTGTGTGCCAGGTTCGGGAGTAGCCCTGGTTCCCAGTCTTTGGCCCAGGGGAACCCTGCCTGTCCTTGGAGAGCTGGCCCAATGCAACCCAGTGTAGAAAGCAGAATCGGTGTCCTGCCGCCAAGGCAGACAGCAGAGGCCGTCCCAGATCTAACCCCCCACCCGCAGGTTCTGACCCCCCAGCCCCACCACAGTGATGCACAAGCGACCCCTGTGCTCATTCCTGTTTGCTTATTTGTTTGTTTGGGGCCACACCCGACTATGTTCAGGGCTAACTCCTGCCTCTGTGCTCAGGGATTCCTCCTGGTGAGACTTGGGGGGGACCATATGGGATGCTGGGATTGAGGTGGGCTGCCTGCAAGGCAAACAGCCTATACCCTGTGCTAACGGGTGCCCTTGTGCTGATTTTTTTTTTTTAAATATTCCCCAGGGATTTATTGAGCACACCTTGAGTGCTGGACCTCAGCCTCTGTTCCGGGGACAGAACCGGGGAAGACACAGGGGTCTTGGAAACACTCGTTATTCTTGCCCTCCCTGGACACCAGTCTGCCTGGTCCCTTTCCTGGTCTTCTGTTTACCCCCATGGGTGGGTGGGACCTCTCTGCCCTCCCACTCAACTCCTAACCACCCTGTTCTTCAGGGGCTGGCTGGCTTGAGGTGACTCTTGCCATCAGGCTGACCTGATGAGATTGTGACAACAATGCCACGGGGCTCGGGGGATGCGGCCACTGCCTTTGGTGGCCAGTCCTTATAGCTGTGTGAACTGGGGAGGGAGCCTGGGATGAGATCAACAAGAAAAGCAGAAACCAGCAGAAGCCAAGGTAGGGTCAGGCCCACAGCACTGGCTCAAGGTGCCTGAGTGGAGGCCGACCGGGGTACTGGTGCCACTGCAGGGAGTGGCCTGGTGTGGACAGCAGCGTGGGGGTCCCGAAGGCCAACCATTGGGCTCCACTTCCGCCCTGGCAGCAGCCAGTGGTGCCAGGTGTCTGTACTGGTTCCCTCCTGGGCAAAGTGGCACATGTGCCAGCAACCCGTCCCTGGGAAGCCCGGCAGCGGGTCTGGAGGAGGGACCAGTGCCCCCACCCGCCAACATTCATTTCTGCATTCTCTGTACTCTGGGGTTTCTAGAACCAGACCCAGACGGGGTCTGGTTGTGACCCAGACCCCGTTGGAGGGAGCGGCCTCTCTGACGCTCTTGTGCCACCCTGCCCTCTGCAGAAGCGGCCTCCGGTGCCCCAGCGCTGCCAACTTGGCTGATGGTCGCCCCTTTTCTCCTTGCAGGCATGGCGCCCTGAGGTGACTGAGCCCCCTGGAGAAAGCCACCCGCCGCCCTCGCTGCATGCCAGGCTAGACAGACAGAAGACGGGGCACTCGGCCCACCCAACCCTCACTGAGTCTCCACCCCAAGCACCACCCAGGTCCTCGTGGGCCGGAGACCTCCAGAACCGCCGCAGCGGGAGCCGTCCACTTCCTCATGTCTGGGGGCTCTCGCTAACAATGGCCCTTGCCCCCCACTTCCTGCTGCTGCTGCTGCTGTTGCTAGGACCGGCCCTTGGCACCGTGTCCGCCAAGGCGCCTGGCGATTTGGAATACAAGCTGCCCAGCCCGCACTATGAGACAGAGGGGCAGATCGCCGGGGCAGGGAGGACCCTGGGCGTGCTCAGGTGGCTGCCAAACGCCTTCCTCAGCCTGGTGATGCCGAAAGCTTTCCCCGAAGGTAAGTGCCATGCTGGGGTCGGGGGCGGGGGGCGGGCGTCTGCCTGGCTGGACACCTCCATTGTGTCCATTCTTCTGATCTCAGTATGCAGTGAACACAGGCCTACTGCCCTTCTCAGTTCAAAGGAAGGGGCGGGGTGCCCGGGAGCAGGAAGTGTTCAGGTGGAAGTTAAGGAAACCTGGGCCAGCCTACGTGGGGTGGCGAATGTGGAGCTCAGAACGGAATCAAGAGTCGGGACAGCGGGGAGGAAAGAGTGCGGAGCACCGCCCCTCCCCCCCGCCCCCACCCTTCAGTCCTGGCACCACATGTGGTCCCTGGAACTCGACCAGGGTCGCTCCTGAGCACAGAGCCAGTAACCACCCATGCGCACAATTGGGTGTCCCCAGCCCCCCAGAAATGAAATGAAACTGTGTTGCTTGTGTTGGTTTTCCGGTTGCTTGTCCTTCCTCTCTCCCTCTTTGCCCCTCTCCAAGGGTAAAAATGAGGCGAAGAAGTGCTAATTCCCTGTCATGGAATGAGAAAGCTCACCAAAAAAGTGACCTCTCCCAGCCCAGCTCTGTTCCCTCTGCCCACCAGAACATGGGATAATGCCCCTTTGGCATTGCCGAGGGCCAGGCGTAGGCGAACCCGCTTTCCGGAGTAGCTGCTGTACACTCTCGGACTTTTCGCTTGTGTCTCTTCCCCACGTGTCACTGGTTTGCTCCGACACGGCAGGTCAGAGTCATCACCACTTCTGACCCCGCTAGAGGCCCCTCTCCTGGCCCCCTCCATGCCCAGAGTTGTGGAGGCCTGTTTTGTTGTTCCTCGGCTGTTTTCTCTTTGCTTTACTGTCCACCTCTGAGGGACCCATCCTGCGCTCTCACTGCGTGCTTCGCACTCAAGGCCACCCTCGGACAGCCAGCACCCGCGCAGCTGCCCGGGTATTCTCTGGGGAATGAGTTATCAGGAACCGTCTGTTCGTTTGTGGTTTTTAGCTGGAAGGTCTGCAGGGAGCCTTCGTGGCCTTGTTGTTTCCTTGTATTCGGTCTGTTCTTCGTGCCTTCTTTCAGCCACACAGACCTGAATACCATCATCGACCACTAAGAATGAGCACATTGGTGATAATCTGATTTTTTTTTAAGCTGGTCAGCTCTTGTTCATAAGAGGCTTATTTGTGTGCATGCATAAGTGTGTGTGTGTGTGTGTGTGTGTGTGTGTGTGTATGTGAGAGAGAGAGAGAGAAAGAGAAAGAGAAATAGAGAAAGAGAATGAGTATACTTTAGCACTCGTTTACACAGTGGACAGTTTCTATAGATTTTCATTAAGAAACATTAATACTGAATTTTTAAAAACATTTTTTGGGTTCTTCAATTCAACAATCGAAACCGTAATTCACAGTTTTTTGTCTGAGCCCTTGCAGTTATTGGAGAGAGCAGAGAGCAGGGCCACTGGTTAAAACATGGAGTATGAGATTCCAGAGGACGGAGGTGGAAAACCAGTCTTAGTGTTGGATGCAGTCTCTGTTCTCTCCAGACCACAGTTCGTTTATTTGTAGCTTTGCTGTACGCCTGGGATAAACACATACCGACTGCTGTTTGCAGTTTTGGCTTCTTCTATTTAATTCATTTTTTTTTAATGTAAAAGGCATGTGTAGTATGAATTGACTTTTTCAAAAAATGCTGAAGCATCCACGTGTCATTCTATGGGGTATCCTGTAACTGGCTAATGCCCTAATCCTATTCCATATGTTGGTTTTGCTTCGTCTAGAGTCCGCAGGAAGACTTCCCCAGGCTTAGTTGGCAAGAGAAAGCAGGTTTTTGAAAATCTTGATCCAAATGATTAGGTTAAAAAGACTTCTAGTAGCTTCCCACAAAACTTCTCCGTGCATTTTTGCAGTTTTGCAATTCAGTGCCTTTAGTTTAGAAGTAGGTAGAAGTAGGCCTCTGAGGAATTTAAATCTTAATGTAATCTGAATGTTGGACTTGTTGCCCCTCCACCCTTGCTTACACCTTGGAGAAAGAAATTCTCAAAATTTCAACAATAGGCCAGAGGAGACCAGCACCACCCTTTTCAAAATAAATGATTAGCTTGCTTAAAGAGCATAGGGCCGAATTTAGTGGTGACATTTTGGAGTGTTGGCTTTCTTCCATTAACTTTAGCATTATTTGTATTCTTGCCCCATTACTAGATTTCATCATTAGTCTCCGAGTGCCCATTTGGGGCTTTCTAACATAAAGGGCACATTCGAGGCAGTCATGATTTAATCATGAGAGAGAGAGAGAGACAGACAGACAGACAGACAGAGACACACAGACAGAGAGACACAGAGAGAGAGAGAGAGAGAGAGAGAGAGAGAGTCAGAGAGTCTTAGTAGCACAATTAATAATATACTATCCTCTATTCGGAGTAAAAAAAACCTTCAGGAGAACCTGCTCCTTTAAGGAGTTGATGCTGGTGGGTCCCCTGTGACTTAAATGAGGCGGAGAGGAGAGAGACCCTCGAGAAGGGAATCTGCAGCTTTCTCCCAATCCCTCTCTGCCCCCTGGGCGTGGCTGGAAGGCTAGGACTGATAGAGTCTGCCCTGAGCCCTGCATGGCCTCACGTCCCCCCAGCCCCACGGGGCAGCTGTCAAGCCACACCTGCTATCCACTTGTTCTGCACCGCACAGGAACTAGTCCCCACTGCCTGGTTTCTTGAGGAGCCATGGGCTGGGCTGTCCATGGAGGAGAGCAGAGGAGAGGATGTGTTTAGGGAATAGGCCAGTCGAGGTGGGGAGAGCCAGAGTTAGGGATAGGAGTGCTGATTAGCATGCAGGGAATTTTCCAGGGTTTGGGGGAGCTTGAAATGATCCCAGCAGGGGTTCCAGGCATCTAGCACATCTTTATTATTGAAAAGACCTTTCTTTCCAAGACAGCTGGATGGGTGTTGTGACCACTGGGATGTAGAACCAGGTTTGGAGAAAAGAATCACGGGGCCGGAGTAATAGTACAGTGGGTAGGGCGTTTGGGTTCAATCCCCGGCATCCCATATGAACCTCTGAGCACCTCCAGGAGTAATTCCTGAGTGCAGAGCCAGGAGTAACCCTTGGGCATAGCTGGGTGTGACCCCAAAAAGCAAAATAAATAAAAAGAATTACAAAGTGGCTGAAAGGCTGGGGTGCAGGCTTCTGCAGGGGTGCACAGAGAGGCAGAGGCAGCTGGGAAAACAGAATCCCATTTCCTATCCAAATGACCTCTCTTGCTTACTTCCTGCCGGGTGATCTTGGCCAGATCTGTTTCATATTCAGAGCTTCTGCTCCCTCAGAAGTAAAAGGACTGTCATCATAACCCACTTGGTAGCTCTCATCCGTGAGGCGGGCACGAGGTAATGCATGGGGAGCTACATTTTAGCCGGTGCCAGCTCTCAGCAAGCCTGACGGCTTTTTATGTTATGACTTGAGAAGCATTGGTCACATTTGATGCCAAGGCTGGTGATGGGGGGCGGGTGGAGGGGGGCGGTGAGGAGAGGGGTGCATAAGATTAAGAAGGCATTTTCAGGAGTAATCAGTTTTGTTGAGTATATATTTTTGTACATTTTTTGCTGCAGTATTGGTGGTAGAATATACTAAGACGCGAATCATCTCGACTTCTGTATTTATTTATTTCTTACTAGACCTCATCCACAGCCTCACCCCGCCTCTGTCCATAGGATGTAGTATATGTTGTCTTGAGCTTTGTGTTAAGACAGTAGAAATCTACACATCTGTTTTGTACTTTTTTTTTTTTTTTTTTTTGCTTTTTGGGTCACACCCAGCAATGGACAGGGGTTAATTCTGGCTTTGCACTCAGGAATTACTCCTGGTGGTGCTGGGGGTGGGGGGGACCCTATGGGATGCTGGGAATCGAAACTGGGTCGGCCGAGTGCAAGGCAAACGCCCTACCTACCTGTTGTGCTATTGCTCCAACCCCAGTTTTGTACTTTTAATACTGTTGGATACTTATAATTAAAACTTTTACTAGTGTATTGAATAAATTTAGTCATTAGAAAAAAAATCACTCCTGACAGACTCCGGGGACCATATATGATGCTGGGGATCAAACCAGGGTCGGCCACAGGTGAGGTCAGTGCCCAGCCCGGGTCACTGTGCCTCCAGCCCACCCTCGGGAACATTCTGTAGGCGATTCCCTTGCAAGAAACCCTCCCATTACTCTCCCGCTGTTTCCCAAGTTGTGTGTGCTGGGACTCCCCCTCTTAAGTAGCAGAACTGGCTGCAGAGAGCGGCTCCTCCAGCTCGCTGACTGAGAGGCCTTCCCTTCCACAAGAATACCTTGGAGGCAGGCTGGAATGGGGGGTACGGGGGTGGGAGGGATACTGGGATCAGTGGTGGTAGAGAATGGGCACTGGTGGAGGGATGGGTATTCTATCACTGTATAACTGACACCCAAGCACAAAAATTTGTAAGTCTACAACTGTACCTCATGGTGTTTCACTAATAAAAATTTAAATAAAAAAGAAAATACCTTGGGGGCTCTTGTTTTCCTTGGCTTCCTGCTTCTTCCCAGCCTTCTCTGCTAGGTTTGTGCTTCCTTGAGTCTTCCAGCATGTATGAGAGGCAGATAACGGTGGGGGATCAAGGACTGACGCTCCTGATGGGTCCCTTACACACTGCAAACCCTCAGCGAATGAGAGATTGGATGTCCAAGGCACAGCCCAGCCAGCGGCAAAAGGTACCCCCATCTCTGACCAAGTTCCGTCCATATTCCCCAGCTTACCTTGCGGGCAGTTCATTTCTCTTTTATTTACCCCTGTGCTTTAAAAATGACCACAGCGGCTGGAGCAATACCACGCAGGTAGGGCCATTTCCCTGCACACGGCCAACCCGGGTTCTCTTCCTAGCATCCCATATGGTCCCTGAGCAACACCAGGAGTAATTCCTGAGTGCAGAGCCAGGAGTAACCCCTGAGCATCACTGGGTGTGACACAAAAAGCAAAATAAAATAAAATAAAAATGACCACAGTGGGCTGGAGCGATAGTTCAGCAG